TTTGTTCTCTTTGAATCATCGGATGGGAACGCTGCTTTATTCACAAATATTTTATGCAATATTCCAGTTCTGCCCTTAAGTTTAATTCACATCTTTAGATAAATACATGGCTAGCGAAGCATTGTTCGCATTGCAACTAGTGTGGTAAAATCGATGTCTCAGAGAAATATGTGGAGAAAAAAAAATCTTGAGCATACCGAACATCTGTGAGTGGGTTTTGTCATCTAGTTCTGAATGAATGTCTGTATAGTGCATATGTGAAATGCTTCTGTCATTCTAACACAGAATGGCAGATGGTCTTGTTTCTTAATCATGGTCATGGTGCTTAAGCACTAAATCCTCGCTGGAACAATGCAACCAGACTTTAGCTTTAGTTTTCGCCTGACCACCTCAAACACTCGCTTTTACTGACACATTCACTTGTCCCAATCTCTTGAGCAGGCACCCAGGGCTCGTCTTCATCAGCTGTTATTGAGGGTTTTCAGCCATCAGTCGCCTCTAAGAGTCTATAATCAATGCTTCCTGCTAAGTAGAGTAACTCCAAATGCGATTATGAAAGTGATCGGTTAAAATAGATTATAAACGTTCATCAGAATGCTTTAATCGTCTTGCAATTACTGTGTGATTTCAAAGTCTGGATGATGTCCTTAGTGTCCTGTCTGGCATATTAAAAACTCATAAATGAAACTCTAACGCATAACCTTGCATAATTGTAGAACTAGATTCATAATCATTCAGCTGTTCATTCATTTCAATCATCAGCAATGAATAGAAATGATTTCATCTGTATTCAGCTGGATATCACTGAGTGGTAGATATTCACATCCATTTATGTATCTGAAATTGCATGGAGTGGTTTAGGAGGACATAAATGGAGAGTCAATGCAAAAATAAAAGCTTGCTGGTAATTTACTCACCCTCAGGCCATCCAGGATATTACTTGTTTCTTCAGTAGGACATTGAAGAAGATTTTTTAGAAATAACCGTATACAAAATGATCGTTCTGTGTAAGAAACTGAACATTATTATTAGGGCTGCACATTATATCATTTCAGCATCGATACCGCAATGGGTGTGTCTGTAATAGTCACATTGCAGGATCTGCAATGTTGAGTTGGGATTATAGTTGATCAGCACAACATTTGAGAATACATGAGACTTGTGGAGTCATTACAAAGTATAACCATAACAGAGTGAATATTTATCCTTTGCGTGTGTTTTAAAAGCATTTGAAAAATTTTTTAAAGCATTCGGGCACAAAGATGTAAACTGTTTATTTTTCATTGCATTAATAAATAAAATGTATTTTTTTTAAATAATTGTTTTGTGTATGATTTTCTGTTCGGAACAAATGAAACAAATCACATCAAATGCAGCATTAGTAACTTTAATGACAAATAATCTTTGTAAAATTATTCTTCATTTAAGTTACAAGTGTTGTATTTTAGTTATTATTAATGCTATGAAGACTATACAGTGTTATTTTACATTTCATCATTCAATTTTTGTACCTGAATACTGGCTCTGGAAACCATAAAGTCAACGTTTCTTTAACTTTTCTTTGCTAAATTGTAATAATTCTTGCTTGCGATTCGTTTATTATTATTTATACATGGTTTACACCCTTACAAAATCCCCTCAAACTATTTAGATTGTGAATTCCCCAGAAAAAGCTATTTAAGTCATCTGGTGAAATTGTATTCATATTGAAATATATAATTGAAGAAAAACTAAATATCGCAATGTCAGATTTTTCAATATCATGCAGCTCTAATTATTACCCTTAAACTTAGCAAACAATCCTGAGTGAATTCCAGACAATATGGAGCATGAGCTTCCAGATGCACATAATGATGTCTTTATGGGTGACACATGACCTCTCTCTACATTGGAAACATACAGCACCAGATCATGTGTGAGGCCTTGCACATGCCATTAGCTTTGATTGGATATATGGTTTTTTGACTTTCCAGGTAATCACTGACATTCATTTTCTGAATCACTAAGGACCATGGTGTTAAAAATCTTCTTCAATGTTCTACCGCAGAAAAATCACTTAAATTGTAGATGGCCTGGTGGTGAAAGAATTTAAAGCAAAATGTTGGGAGAAGGGTGGTATGGTGGCACAGTGGGTAGCACTGTCGCCTCACAGCAAGAAGGTCACTGGTTTGAGCCTCGGCGGGGGTCAGCTGGCATTGCTGTGTGGAAATTGCATGTCTAAAGACATGTGATATAGGTGAATTGGGTAAACCAAATTGTCCGTAGTGTACTGTATGTCTGTAAATGGGAGTGTATGGGTGTTTCCCAATGATGGGTTGCAGCTGGAAGAGCATGCGCTGCGTAAAACATATGCTGGATAAGTTGGCGGTTCATTCTGCTGTGGCTACCCCAGATTAATAAAAGGACTAAGCCTAAAAGAAAATGAATGAATGTTGGAAGAATTAATGGAATTAATGAACTTAACAGACATTTACTGGACAACAAACAATGCATAAAGTGGAGGCTTTCACTAGTGTGGTCAAGTTATTTTATTAATCGATAAAACTTACATTAGTTTTGTCAGCTTAACAGTTTGCTGTTAACAGCTAGCTTAACTGTTTAGTTTGCAGTTTTAAGCCTTATTATCATTAATTAATTCATTTATTAATTCATCAGGAGATACCACAGCAGAATGAACCGCCAATTTATCTAGCAACCCAGTACTGGGAAACACCCATACACTCTCACATTCACACTTATACACTACGGCCAATTTAGTTCGTTTTTTTATTTAGTTTCAGTTGATCTGTAGCGCATGTCCTGGGATGGTGGGGGAAACTGGAGCACCCGGAGAAAACCCACACCAACACGGGAAGAACATGCAAACTCTACACAGAGATGCCGTCTGATCCAGCCTGGATACAAACCATTCACCTTCTTTCTGTGATGCGACAGTGCTAACCACTGAGCCACCGTGTTGCCACCTTGTAATCAATGCAAAAAAAAAGATGTATAATTTAATGACAGTTATAAGACGGATGGACTTTAAAACGGTACCAGTGAGAATTAATATCCTCTGTTAAAATGACCCTTGTCATTTGGTTCCACCAGTGTGGCAAGAGGGATCCCTAATGTGTGTCTCTCAGAATGACAACTGCCTTTTAATTTTGTTAGGCATTTCAAAATATTGGATTTTGTGATGTCCACAGCTGGGTTCAAAAGACTTTATTTTCAGTGTACAAATTGCAAAAACTGATACAGCTTCTCTATATCATGTGGTGCATTGTTCTCTATTTGACCACTGTGTGCTTGAACATATTTAACAGCGTGTCCATTTCTGAAAAGTTGATTCATTCCAGCCCTTGGAAACATTCACATGATTTTTTAGTATCAACTAAAGCTAGTTGTCACATGGGGAAGTGAATCACAAGAACTGTCTCAGTTCTTGCATCTTAGCATCGGTTAGAAATGTCATTTTCATAAATAATAATAAAAAATATTCTTACATTAACATCTCTGTCAATATTTACAGTTGAAGTCAGAAGTATTAGCCCCCTTGTTTTTTCCCCCAATTTCTGTTTAACAGAGAGATATATTCAACACATTTCGCAACTTATTAGTTTTAATAACTCATTTCTAATTACTGATTTATTTTATCGTTGCCTTGATGACAGTAAATAATATTTTTTTTCAAGACACTTCTATACAGCTTAAAGTGACATTCAAAGACTAAACTAGGTTAATTATTTTAACTAGGCAGGTTAGGGTAATTAGGCAAGTTATTGTATAACGATGGTTTGAAAAAAACATATAGCTTAAAAGGGCTAATAATTTTGACCTTAAAATGGTCATTAAAAATTAAAAACTCATTTTATTCTAGCCAAAATAAATTAAATAATAAAAAATATCAGACATACTGTGAAAATTTCCTTGCTCTGTTCAACATCATTTGGGAAATATTTAAAAAAGAAAAAAAAAATCAAAGGGGGGTTAATAATTCTGACTTCAACTGTATACAGTATGTACACATCTTCTTCAAAAATGTTCAGCCCTAAAAGTGTGACATAGAGCAAGGGCTAAAGATTTACATTTATAATTTATCAAAATAGGTGGCACTGTCGTTTCACAGCAAGAAGGTCGCTGGTTCGAGCTTCGGTTGGGTCAGTGTGCATTTCTGTGTGGAGTTTGCATGTTCTCCCTGTATGCGTGTGGGCTTCCTCCGGGTGCCACATTTTCTCCTACAAGTTTAAAGACATGTATGGTTGGTGAATTGGCTAAGCTAACATTGTCCTTAGTGTATGTGTGTTTCCCAGTGATGGGTTGCAGCTGGAAGGGCATCTCCTGTATAAAACGTGCTGGATAGTTTGTGGTTCATTCCGTTTTGGCGACCCCTGAATAATAAAGAAAATGAATTATTTAACAAAATAATTATATACTGTTGAGTGTTGCGAGGACGTTGAACACTTGTTAAAGAATGCAAAGTTTCATTCTCTTAACAAACTGCATTTTTTTAGAAATATACGCACACCTCCTTGGTCAAAACCAAATGTGTTCAGGGTTAATAACAATTTTTATTTTGTATACCACTATTTGATGTTAAATATTCTTCTTCTTCTTCTTTTTTTTTAAGGGATTGTTTTAAAACTATGCCTCCATCTCTTTTGTGAGTATCCATTGCCACAACAAATCCCATTTTGAGACACCGAAAATCTCTTTAATAGTCTACTATATTCCCTGAGAATGTCAGATAAAAATGTTTAAAATACCTCTTTGCAGCTAAGATTTAAACGTTTGCACCTTTAATAAAATGGACTTCGAGAAACAACCTACCCTAAAAAACATTCACTGTCGTAAAAAAGTGACAACCAGCCTCAGTCTTCACCGCGGCTTTGATCAGGCTACAATAAATGACTCACGCAGCAACGGACAAATGTTCTGTTTGCACCAATGCCTGAAGACGAATATAAAATAAGTGCAGTAAACCGAGCATTCATCCTCCCATCCAGGGACTAAATCACACGCATCCCACGTCTCAGTGTATATAAGCGCTCTCATACTGGAGATCCTCCTCTGCTTTGACAGGCGCTGAACGCTCAGCCTCTAGTACGAAAGCGCGAGCCCGGCGCACGTCAAAACCGCCCGCATCTTTCCAAAGCAAGACCGAAACCGAATCCCAGCATCTTTTTTTGGTTGCTGTCCGAGGGTTCTCGTTTGTGCAGCGAGCTCCTAGACCAGTTCGGACTGTCTAAAAGCGGCTAGTGTTGAAGGACAGAAGAGGAGCTGGTTTCGATAGCGGGACAAAAGATGCTGCTTGGTCTTCAGTGACGGTTCTGGTCCACCTTATGGGTTTTACACACAGAAACACAGCACTGCACTCGTGTTCTTGGTCACGAGTTTAAAACGGGATCCGTTTGTGCTTCTTTTGTCTCCCACGTGCGAAAAAGTGGATCCGAATTTGAGGTGAGAGTCTTGTGCTTGTTCCTGCTTTTGTTCTTTTGTTTACTCTGCTGCGTTTATATATATTTTTTGGCTGGAAGGTTTTGAAATCGGAGTGTGTAATTCTCAGCTGGGATGCTGAGGGACGTCCTGATATACAGTTGCTTTTTTCCTGCTAGATATGATGCATATTAATTACTCAAGTTTACATCATGTTAAAAAAGTATCATTGATTAAATGGGTACTTTTTAGCGTTCTTCTAGCGTGATTATTTTTCCATGGATACAGCTGCGTTACAATGTGGTATTTTTTTAGCCAAGTGTTAGCTCGGATTGAAAAGAGTTAATTCATATACTATAGAATGAATGGCAGCTATGACGCGGGGAGTTAAAGAAAATGATTCTTGACAGAAGCCTTTATTAAAAAAAGAACCATATGCAATTAATTCCACGGGTATTTCGGAGATTTCTTTAAAGAAACATAGCGGAGTTGATTTTTTTTTCCTGTCACAAAGGAGCGCGTTTTCTGAAGTCGGGTTTTCTCCCCTTTCACGATAACTCGGAGCGAGTATGTGTGTGTGTGTGTGTTTGTGTGTGTGTGTGTGACATGGAAAAGCCGGAATGGATTTACAGATGGATTTTTAATGTTGAGATGAATAGTGGAACCTTTAAGTTGATAGAGCAGGTGTAACCTATTCTGCTACAGTATCATGTGCATACCCAGCAAACAATTGTGTTTAAAGAAAGTCTAGTATACATCTAAACTATTCAGCTTGGCCGAAGCAAGGCTGAACTTGGGCTGACAGTCAAAATCTATTCATTTAGGAATAGCTCAAACAGACAGATTAGGCAGACTTTATATGTGTAGTCATCCATTCCTGTTTATTTGATGACTATAGTCTAGTTTTGGCCTATTCTTAGACATCTATTAGATTTTCACTGACAGCCAAAATTTAGCCTTGTTTTAGCCAAGATGACTATGTGTAGACATCTATTAGACATCTATTAGACATCTTTTAAAAACAAAAAAAAAATGCTTTCTGGGTATAGTAGCTCCTGCTGTAAATAAACATGCCTAAATCACATAGAAGCATGCAAATCTGTTGTCTTCTCCTATCTGATAATGTTTTAAAAGACAGCCATACAATATTTGTAAATAGCCCAAACATTCAGTGATACGATTAGTGGTATTGGTTTACCAATATAAAGATGTCTGTTGCCTATTTTACACAACCAGACTCAGTAAGGCTATATTTCTCAAATACAATATTTGAGCTCTCTGAAACGATTTACTTCATTTTGCAATGCGAAAGTAAATTAAACTATATATATTAAACTATGAATATGTATCGTTAGTCATTTGATTGAAACGATCTTGTCACTGTGGCCAGGGGCGGACTTAACCAATAAGTGAGGTAAGCAGCTGCTTAGGGCCCCAGGGAATTGCGTGGCCCAAAGCCAAAAAGCCTATATTAATCATATAGCTCTTTTATGAATTTTCTATCATATGATGTAAAATTTGTCTACAACTGTTGAGACTTAAACATTATTACTTTTTTTTCAAAAGTGGAACGTTCCTTCTGTACTGCACATGCAAATATTAAAATTTGATCACAAACATGGCCAATTAACTGTACATAGTTGGTTTGTGAACTTAAGGTACTTGAACATGCAAATTATTTACCAAAAACCACACACACACACACACACACACACACACACACACACACACACACACACACACACACACACATACCTGGAATTGCGTAGGGCCCGCCAAAGTCCGCCCCTGACTGTGGTACAGATAGTTCACCAGCTAACTTAAAACATAACTCTGAAGCATAACTGCTATTATTTGAAATTAACTTATCATTTATTAATTGTTGAACTGTTGCATAAAACAATATCACTGTCATTTGGATTTGCTTAATATCAGTATGACCTGATGACATGCACTGGCTGAGACATCTGTATTGCACATCCATAACTGTCAACATTGGGATGTGAAAATAATGCCCACCATGAAATCCAAAAAGATTCCCCAAATATGTTCATCTGGAGCTGTTTCATTGTAAATAAACAGTTAAACGGTCAGTCGCATGTTTTATTATTATTATTTACCAAAGAAAAAATACATAGTATACATTAGCAACTAATAAATTAGCAAACCGTTTAGCTTATTAAAATTAATAGCTATTATAAAAAAATAGAATCTAGTTATCAAATCTCATTAATCTTTTCTTCACTGTAAAACTTATACATTCTCATGAAAGAGCATCGAATGAATCTCATTTATTTAGATTTTTCATTTGATTACATTAACTGGTGTCACTTTAAAAATGCACACATCTAGCGTTATGATGAAAGAATTTGATTGCTTTCCTAACTTTTTAGGCTCATTTAGGACAAAATTAGTTTTGTTTAAAAAAAATCCACCAGGATCAACATCTTTAGAAGTTATTATTATTAACTATGTGTATATGTCTGTTCAAACCCAGACTTTCGCTCCTCTTCAAATCGCGTGTACAGAATGCGTTTGGGAAACAGCGTCTACTTTATCACTATGGAGCACGTCAGCTGACAGTCACGCACTACTATATGACTGTTTTGAGGATTGCATAGAAGGGGCGACAGCACCTGTAATGAAAAGGAAGGTAATGTCTCCATTTTTATATTTATTTTAAAGTGTTTTCATGCCTAAATAAAACAAAAGCACGGAACAGACTCACATTTAAGAGCAAGGCGTGTCCCCTGGTCGTTTGGCGATATGGGTTGCGTAAAGGGAGGATCGACTTTTTAATGTTTATTGCCACCCTTCATAGAAAGTTTGAAAATACAGGAGAAATACAGGAAAATACCTTTACGGGATGATAGCGAGATTGAACTGTAAAATACTGAAGATTCCACACCAATATGCACATCAGATGTGACAATTTCAGTTTAAGATAGCAAGTCAAAACATTTATTCCAATCATAAGACAGGCAAAAGTTTACTTCAAGAATGAAGAATGAGTGGTTTTGATTGCAATCAATGTGCATTGCAAAAACGAAAGTATAGCAAAAAATAAAAATAAAGAAAACAAACAGTAGTAAAAACTCTTAATATGAAGCATTTAGACTTTATTGAATCCACAGAATGACAAATGTTTTTCTAAAAGATGCACAAGACACAACCTTTTAGTGAAGCCATAATGTACATTAACTGCAAGGACATGGCATGGTGCTTTTAATCCAGTGTGCAACCCCTTGACAGCCGTGCTGATAATTAGCAGTCTTGTTCATGTGACAGACCATTATAAAACAGAAAAGGACTCTTTTAAAGCATTTTAAGATATTCAGTGCAATCCTCTGTGCTTTATTATTAAGCATGAGCTTTATTATGCAACTAAAGTGCAAGAACATACAGCAAGTGCCAGAGTAAATAGATTTGAAAAGAAGATCACCATTTAGAAACTGCACGCTTGGATAGTTAAATGACTGTTTAACAGGAGGAAAATGACCCTTTCGTATGAAGACATCTAATTAAAATGTATTTTTAAATTTATATACTTATTTCCTAAAGAATTAATCTGATGCACTTGAAATGTTATTCGTTAGATTTGTCTGTTAATCTGTTCTGTGCACATTATCCGACTGTACTCATTTTCATTTTGACTTACTCGTCCATGCAAAATGTTTGTTTACAGTCTGTGTAATTATCCGTGCATTAAAATAGGTGATGATATCAGAAAGAAGTAAGCACTTGCTTAAACAGGAATTTTTTGTTTAAAGTCGTCACTGTTCAGCCAACAACAGCAGACTGAAGTGCTGTCAGCTGGCAAGGCAGAGAGCCTTGGGAAATACCCGTAATATATATCTCCAAACAACCACATTATATTTCCAGCTTTGTTTTCTCTGTTGTAAATTGGTGTGCGGTTTCCAATTATGACCACATTGGGCTGCTTGTGTCTTGAATAACTCTCCTTCAGTCGTCCTTCCATCCTGTGACATGTAGGTCACATACATGCATTGTCGTCAGTGCATTTCAACACAGTAAGTGAGAACATCCGTATTATTGACATATAGGATAGTTACACAACCACTGCTCATAATAAAAAAAGTCATTCGGTTCAGCAGTATTAAAGTAATTTCTCAAGTAGAAATGTAGCAGAATTACCAAATACATTTTGTCAATGCATCTATACAAAGTGTTCCTCAGGGAGCTGTTTTAGATCCAATTTTCAATCACATTCACCATTTAAGATAACTGATACACTCCATATATATATATCCCTCTACATCTTTTCCAAACGTCTATATAAGTGTATATGAGAGAGATCATATGAGATTTAGTTTGCCCTCCTAATGCTACTTGGCCATTCTCCTATTCTAAGGCTTTCCTCGTAATTACATGCCCTGTTGGGACAAGCATGTTTGCTGCCATCATCTCATGGTCAATCAATCAGACCTTGGTTGAACAGATGGACTCTCAGTGACACAGGATAAAAGGTTTGCCTGATGAATTTCATACTGGAATAACACATTCACTGCTTGGCTTGCAGTAATATGTGTATTTTCTTATGTGTGAGTGTGGGGGATTGCCCTCCCACTCAGCTGAATGTGTTTTGTGAGCATGTGCGTCTGTGTATTTGCAACCGACTTGGAGAGTTTGCATGCATTGCCTTCTTGAGCAGATACCCAAGGGCTTTTCTTGTAGTTTGCACTGTGTGCTATGATTCCTCATGTATAATTGTTGGTGCAAAACCTACACGCTACCTCATCTGTTAGATTTCAGCACATGGCAGTTGTCATCAATCTTCCTGATTGTTCGTTTACTTTGGCTAATGAAAACCATACATTTCATTCCTTCAGTCTGTTGTTGGGAGGAAAAAACATCTAGAACGCTTAATAAATCTCTTTATTCTTCAAATACGGATTAGTTTCTTGCTGATTGTATTGCTGTATTGTAGACAGACACAGTTTCATGCCTCAGAGAGTCTTTTATTTGGCCAAAAGGGTAAGTTTGAAGAAAGAAAAACTCCTGAG